GTGTATATATATTTTTTTTTTATTTTTATTTTTTTGATACGGAGTCTTGCTCTGTCGCCCAGGCTGGAGTGCAGTGGCGTGATCTTGGCTCACTGCAACCTGTGCCTGCCCAGCACAAGCAATTCTGCCCCAGCCTCCCGAGTAATTGGGATTACAGGCACAAGCCACCATGCCCGGCTTATTTTTGTATTTTTATAATACAGACAGAGTTTCACCATGTTGGCCAGGCTGATCTTGAACTCCTGACCTTATGATTCGCCCACCTGGGCCTTCCAAAGTGCTGGGGTTTGAGTCCTGATTTCACTACTTCCTTACAAAGTCAAGTCACAGTCTCTGAACCTCAATCTTCTCGCTCCTCAGAGATGCTTGTAGATGCAGTAGTATTTTGTTGCGTCAGAGGAATTTTAATATAATCGAATTATACTTGAGCTATTCTGTTAACATGTTTCCAGGAGATAAATAATTGATGGCCTAAACATGAAGGTCTGTATGTGGGAACTGGTGATCTCACAACAGAGGGAAGTTTAGGAACCCAGGAGGCGGATGACAGAGGACAAAAGTATGGAGGATTTGAGAGATGGAGGGAATGACAGATCTAAGCTAGTAATAAGCTGATGGAGATGGAAAGAGCTTAGGCAGTCATCCCATAAGAAAATCATTAACCCCAAAAGCATTATCTCGTTTACCCCTTAAAACAACCTTGTGGAACATATACCACTATAGTTGCCATTTTAGAGCTAAGATAATAGCGAGTCATAGGAGTTAAAGATCTGCCTAGTCACACAGTAAGTGTCAGAACTGGTTTCAACCCAGGTTAGTCTGAAGTTTTTTGCCACACTGCCTGAAGAGTCTGGTTTCAACCAGGAGTACTCCTAGAGGAGAGATAATGATGAAGGAAGGGTGGTAGAAAAATAATTCTATGAATAAGGTAATAAAATACAGTGACCCAAAGGATCTGGCTAGGTAAGGTTAATCATGTGGATAAAGAAACAGGGAGACCTAGAAAACACTGAGTAAGATTTAAATGTGCTACCTTTACCTAAAATTTTCAGAACTGCCCTATCATTTCATGAATGCCACAACTGAAGGTCAAGAATAAGAAAGATGAGAATATAGTTAATTGTTCTCATCTTATTGTAATTTTGGAAGAGGAAAAAAGAACAAAAGAAGTGAGTGAAGAAAGCAAGAACTTGTGATCTCTATGGAAGGGCAAAGGAGCTGAGTTATAGAACAATCTAACATCCTTTCAGGCAGGAGACAAAGTAAGGAAAAGGGAAATGAGCAGAAGAGAGTGAAAGGAAGAAGGGGAGAAAGGAAAATTGGAAAATTATTGGAAATAGAGAAGATAAGCCTCAATATGAGGAGGAAAGAAGAGAAAAAGAACATGATATTCATTCATTAGTTTCAGATAGTTTAAATGAAAAGACACGATTGGGTAAATTTATTCAAATGGTTACGTCCTGAGACAGCTTAGTCCCAGGAATTACTTTGCACTAGAACCTATAGTAACAAAACAGAGATATTATAATTTATTTTATGACACATCGCTTAATATATACAGTCATCCCTTGGTATATGCCAGGGATTGAGTCCAGAACCCCAGAGTACATAAAAATCTGTGCATACCCACATCTCATAGTCAGCCCTGCAAAACTTGCATATACAAAAAGTCAGCCCTCTCTGTACTCAGGTTTCCCCTGAATAGTGCATTTAATTTAATTATTATTATTTTTGAGACGGAGTTTTGCTCTTGTTGCCCAGGCTTGAGTGCCATGGCATAATCTCAACTCACCGCAATCTCTGCCTCCCGGGTTCAAACGATTCTCTGTCTTGCCTCAGCCTCCCAAGTACCTGGGATTACAGGCATGTGCCATGACATCAGCTAATTTTTGTATTTTTAATAGAGACAGGGTTTCTCCATGTTGGTCGGGCTGGTCTCAAACTCCCGACCTCAGGTGATCTGCCCGCCTTGGCCTCCCAAAGGGCTGGGATTACATGCGTGAGCCACTAAGCCCAGCCTATTATTATTATTATTTTTTTTAAGACAGAGTCTCACCTAGTCACCTAGGCTGGAGTGCAGTGGCGCATTCTTGGCTCACTACAGCCTCTGCCTCCCAGGTTCAAGCAATTCTTGGGCCTCAGCCTCCCACGAAGCTGCTATTACAGGCATGTGCCACCATGCCTGGCTAATTTTTGTATTTATTTATCTTTTTTGAGATGGAGTCTGGCTATGTCATCTGGGCTGGAGTGCAGTGGCCAGATCTTGGCTCACTGAAACCTCCACGTCCCAAGTTCAAGCTATTCTGCTTCAGCCTCCCGAGTAGCTGGGATTACAGACATGTGCAACCACACCTGCCTATTTTTTGTATTTGTAGTAGAAATGGGGTTTCACCATGTTGGCCAGGCTGGTTTCTAACTCCTGACCTCAGGTGATCTGTCCACCTTGGTCTCCCAAAGTGCTAGGATTACAGGTGTGAGCCATCACGCCTGGCCTGAATATTGTATTTTTGATCCTCATTTGGTTGAAAAAAAATCAGCATATAAGTGGACCCATGCAGTTTAAGCCTGTTGTTCAAGATTCAACTGTATAACCTTTTCCTAGGCATCCACTTTCCCAAGGAACCAACTGTCTTTGTCTGTTCAGGCTGCTATCACAGAGTACCATAAATTGAGTATCATATAACCAACAGAAATTTATTTATCACCATTCTGAATGCTGGAAAGTCCAAGATCAAGGCAGATTCAGTGTCTGGTGAAGGTCTGCTTTCTGGCTTATAGATGGCACCTTCTAGCTGTGTTCTCACATGGTAGAAGGGACAAGACACCTCTCTGGGGCCTATTTTATAAGGGCATGAATACCATTCATGAGGGCTTTACCCTCCTGACATAATCACCTCCCAAAGGCTCACTTCCTAATACCATCCACCTTGGGGATTAGGGTGTCAACATATTAATGTTGGGGGACATAAAACATCCAGACCATAGCATCAATTTGTATGAAAATCTCTTTGGGCCCAGTGGGGTGGCTCACACCAATAATCCCAACACTTTGGGAAGCTGAAGCTGGTGAATCACTTGACCCCTGGAGTTCAAGACCAGCCTGGGCAACATGGTGAAACCCCTTCTCTAGGTGTGGTAGTATGTGTCTATAGTACCAGCTACTTGGCGGGCTAAAGCAGGAGGATTGCTTGAGCTCAGGAGGTCCAGGCTGTAGTGAGTCATGTTTGAGCCACTGCAATCCAGCCTGGGTGACTGAGTGAGACCTCCCGACTCAAGTGATCCTCTTATGCCATGTCTTATTAACATAAATCAGGGTGGTGTGAGGGGATCTTTTATATCTGTGTATTAGTTGGTTATACCAAAATTTTCAGTAACTATTAAGGGTAGTGTTAAACAAACAAAAAAAAGCAAAGTGTTAATTTTTTTTCTTCAGTGTT